CCCCAAAACCCCAAAACCCCAAAACCCCAAAACCCCGCACCAGCACCTCAAAATTGTCTTCTTAAATTCCATAATTCTCCTACAAAGACTCTATAGGATTCCAAACCTAGCTTGGCCAGGAAGCCTCATCGTTCGCCACCCAAACTTTCCTTTAGAGCACGAGACTATTTGGGAAGACTCCAGGCGGGAGATGCCCCCTCCGTCCTGGTCTTGTTCATGGTAGTTGCTAGAGGTGGGTTAGAGGAGGAAGAGGAGAAGCTTACCATAACGATTGATTTAAGGGAATCTCTTGTCCAAGTACTTTTCTTTCTTCATCAATAGGAATAGTGAAAGTGACTTCTGTTCCCTTTTTATATTCTGACTTGAGGTAAATATTTCCTCCAATAGCCTCCACATATTTTTTACTTACTGTCAGACCAATACCTGTCCCATTGGGGTTGAAAGATTTTACCTCTGAAATCATTCCAAAGAGCTTGAACAACTTTTCCTGTTGTTTCTTGCTAATTCCAATTCCTGTGTCTCTAACCCAGAATTGAGCTAAGTCTTTGCTTCCTTGATGTATAATTCTTCACCCGAGGACTACAAACCCATTAAATGTAAACTTCATCGTGTTTGACATTAGGTTCATGAGGACCTGTTTGATCCTTGATTTATCGGAATAAATAGTCAAGTTCCTGATATCTTCAGATATAGAAAGATCGAATCGGAGTTCCTTCTGTTCTCACTGCATACGGAAGATATCATAGACTTCTTCAATCACATCAATAATTTTAAAATTTTCCTTAAAAATAGAAAATGTGCCTGCTTCCATCTTAGACAGATTCAGGACGTCTTCAATGAGCGTTAGAAGCATCAGAGATGAATTTTTGCCTATCTTTATAAATTTTTGGAAGGTTTCAATACTCATAGCAATGATTTCATTGTGCTCTTCATTGATTTCTTCAAGATATGGTTGGAAAAATTCGAAAATAGTATTAAAAAGAGTTTAGTACTATATCAAATGAGTTTATAATAGAATTTAGAGGAGTTCTAAACTCATGTGAAGCACTCGCAAACATGATCTTCTGAAGCTTGATGTTGTTATTTGCTTCCTCTAGCATCATAGCATTCTTCTCCTCTTGAAGTCTGATGACTTCTGTATTGTCAACGAAGACATGCATGAAAGAGTCGACTCCTTCCCACTCAATCATGAGAGTCTTAATTTTACAGATTCTCTCAGTTGAGTTTTCATCTTCCTCAATGAATAAATCAGCTTGATGAGGATTACAGCTTATTTTTATATCACTTTCTGAGAGTAAATTTTGAGTTGCAGATAGTCTTTCCTGGTTCTTCAATAAAAAATCTGCCAAATCTTGCTTAGCACATAGAGGAGTGTTCTGATCTTTTTCATCTATGAAAGAAATTTCAAGTTCAGATAATTCTTTCAGTTCATTGCGTATTTTAGTATATTTATGAGTAAATTCTTGATTTGTAAACCACTTTCCTTCAACTTTAGATGGCCAAATTACCACACCGAAGGGAAGAATCTGGAGGACTTTTTTCATTTCTAAAATAAGTCTTTTGTTCCTGAGAATTTCAGCATATGTACTTCTATTCTTCATCATAAGAAGATAGCTTGAGAGGGTAAACCATATAATAGCAAAGGAGATGGTCATGGTGAGATCAGGATCAGATATTCCATACTTTTCATACACTCCATAGAGGAAATAAATCATTGCAGATCCAAATGCGATAATGCTTAGCTTCCATTGTGTTGGGACAAAAATTATCAGGACATAGGAGAATCAAATATTTTCAAAAATATATTCACTAGGTCGAAACTCTTTGCTCTGCAATGTGATGTCGACAGCCATAAACAGCACTCATCCGATTAACATTGGGACTAAATACAATGTATATAGTGGCTTATATTCTAAGACTATCAGGATTCCAAAAGTAATCAACGAAAAAATGAGAGTATGAACGACCTTCATTGTATCTTCATCTGAAGTTTCTTCATTATCTCCTATAGAAGTCATCTGAAGATTCTTACCCAGAGCGCTTACACCTGCAATACAGAGACACATGAGTATGATTATCCAGCAAAATATTTTGATATATTTGATATAAGGGCCTTTGAGGTTCTCTTCGATAACAGACTGGATATATTTATCAACTTCTCTATTTCTTTTTGAAGTTTCTTGGTACCATCTTACAATTCTTTTGATGAAATTCGGAATTCTCTTTCCAATTTGGTCTGTAAAAGTTTCTAATATATTTCTCTAAAACTATGACCAAAACTCTTGCAAACCGATTCTTACTTCTAACTCTTTATACTTATTCTCAGAAAAATCGTTTTCTTTACACTTCTTGTTCAATTTTCCTTCTAAAAATTGTTATGAAAGCATCCAAAAATTTTGTCTTCTTCAGGCATAAAATTTTCTATCTAGCTTATCAAGATACTATTCTAAACTCTCGAGAAAGCTGCCAGAGCCATTGGCTTCTTAAAATTATGAAGGAACAGGTTATATTTTGGTTTTGGGAATAGATGAATTCATTATTGGGTTTTGGATAAGCATTAATTTTCCTAACTCACCAATCTGTCACCTACCTTCTTTCCTCTCCATTTCTTCTCAAATTTATTATATTATGGACTATTTAAGATATACATTTTGGGGTTTTGGGGTTTTGGGGTTTTGGGG